ACTTTTCTAGTTTTGAAAATAATATATTTCATATTTGTGCAACCATACATATATTTCACATGCATATTTACATACTACACACTTTCGCAAATAACTTTCACATCTTCAATTTACTTTCGATTCCCCAAACATCCTCTAAACCACAAATATAAACATCCAAACCGACAATCTTCAATGAACATCAGTCGTTAAGGCAGCAACCAGTTTGACACATCATATAAACAAAAACAAAAAAACAAAAAACAAAAAAAAAAGAAAAAAGGAGCTTGAATACATCAACCACCACAACCACCGCAACCACCACATCCTCCTTCACAACCACAACCACCGCAACCACCACATCCTCCTTCACAACCACAACCACCGTCTCCTCCTCCACAACCACCACTGACTTGACGTCCATCACTTCCATAGTATGCCACATTTTTACTCCCAGTCTCTTTATCAGGATCTTGACTGCAAACAAAAATGACCATAACCATGAACGAAATAGACACAGCAGCCATCAAAAGCAAGAAGCTGAACCTCGTCAACCCGTAGTCATCGCCATTGTAGGCATAGAGAGGATGAGGGCAAGAACCTTGCCATTTACGTAAACTTCCTTTGAGGTTAGTGATGCGCAAGGTGATTAATATATCACGTTAAGCTCGCTGTAGTCTTGGCTTCACTGTTCTTCCCAAATTCTTAACATGTTGACTTGAAATATCAAGTTGTTTACCGTCACGGCCCTAATTTCTGAACATAAAAGAAATATTGAAGCCGGACTAAACCTGTAAAAAATCCTCCAAAATATACATTCACTAAAAGACCGTCAAAATAATCTCTTCAATATTGAACTAAAACCAACAATAAAAATTCTCTATAATCCTAAAATTCAACATTAATTCAATTAACTTGATATAAACAAACATTCATTAACTTGAAAATAAAACTCGACCTAAAGGAAAACATCTCATTATTACAAAACTCTCAATATTAGCTAAACATCAAAGACTTTATTTAACCTTCGCCTAGAAGACAATAACAATCTCGAATTTTATTCCTTGCTTTGTTCTAGAATTTAAAAAAAAAATCATCAATTCCACCTAATCCCGAGTCTCTGAAAAGAATGAAAACAACCCAATGAGTTCACAACTCAATAAGTGGATAAATTCATACATTCAACACAAGGCTTCGTTTGGATACCATGGTGTTTTTCTTATTGTGTTTTTGTAAGAAAACACCATGATGTTGTGTTTTTCTCTTAAAATGTTTTCAAAACACCATGTGAAGTATTTTTGTTTGACACTAGTTTGATCAATTATAACATTAGTATTAAACATATTATTAATATATTATATGTTATTATAATAAAATATATTATTAATAAAATGTTATAATATTTAGTTTACATTATTATAGTATTATAAGTATTAAATTTAATGCAATATAATATTGTATAATGTATTATAATATTATATTGTACTTTAATATGCTATATTATATTATAATTATTATTATATTATAATTATTACATATTATTTTCAAATAATTATATATCTAATTATTTTGGTATATCAATTTGTTATTGTTGTATATTATATTAATATTTTTATAATAATGTTATTTTATTATTAATATAATATTATACTATTATTCATATAATATAATATTATTAATAACGTTAATATTATGTTATTACTAGTATATTATTAATAAATTAATATAATAATATTATTATATTGTTATGTTATTATTAAATATGTTACTATTATATAATATTTTATAATTATTAATTTACTATAATTTATTTATTAAAAAGTTAATAATATTATGGCAATTATAATATTATATTGTATATTACTATATTATTATTATATTATTATTTATCATCAAGAACTTTTTTATTATTTTTATTAGTTTATTTATATTTTATTATTATTTTATTATTATATAATACATTATTAATATATTAAATATTGGTATTTAATATGTTACTATATTATTATATAAGATATTTTATTTATTATCTTTTTAGATTATTTAACAAATATTATTAATATATTAAATTAACTATAATATAGTATAGTATAGTATAATATAATAAGCATGTTGATAATAACTCTATAATAATTATATTTAATATATTATGTTAGATATTATATTAACACATTCTCAAAATCAAACCTGAAACACTAAACTTAAAACACTTAAAAGGTGTTTTGAAATAAGTGTTTTGTTTTTTGTTTGAGGATGATTTAGCTCAAAAAACACCATGGTTTTCAAACGCATGATGTTTTAATTTTGGCAAAAACATCATGAAAATAAATAAAACACAATGGTATCCAAACGGAGCCAAATATTTCGACAAATGATAAGCAAAATATAAGAATGATAGACAATCATCAATGAACTCTAGTACTTGATGCAAATATTTAAGAAAACTTAAAAAGATCATGAAATGGAAATAAGCAGGTCACGTCTAAATGCAGTCAACGCTTTATACTTCGGTTGACTCAATAAACCCCATAATTATTAAGCTTGTGGTTCCGGAAGGGTGAGACCCAAATTTGGGTTCTTAGCGCTAAAATAAGACCTCATAGAGGCACATTGAGCCATGTTTTAATAACTTGCTTATATCCGACATATACTGGTATTTTACCTGAGATGCATATGCTTTAAGAAAATTAAACAAAATTCATAAAAACTAAATATGTTATACAAAAATGCCAAAGGCTAACCAATAGTGAAGTCAATCAACCACATATGCATCTCAACCTACTACTATATGAAAAGACATAACAATTGACAAAGAAAATGTGCATAGGCTTATACCAAATAACCACGTGCATTCATCCAATTAACAATTAGTATGCGAGCAACCATACAAAAGGGTATAATCCATCAGAACAAACTTACATATAGTCAATGTAATTTTATATAAAAAATATGCAGTGAATAATGTACAAATTCAGCACTTACCACAAACACAAAAGACTATTAGAATACCAATCACGATGCCTCCTCGAAATCACTTGGGATTCATACATAATATATACAAATAACCATCAAAATTACCATGTAACTTAAGACCCAGATACATATTAAAATAATCTTAGGATATTATCATACACCATCTAACTAACTATACTAAAAATCAATCTACATAACTTATTGTACCATATAACCACGGTTAAGCATTGTATACATAACATTTTTTTCTTTGATAAGGTAATTCAAGGTCACAAGCTAAAATTAAATGGCCTTGTATAGAAACGAGGACAAAAGGCGTGGAGACCAACACAAGAGGCAACAGAACCAAGGTTTGGTTCCACCATGGCCATGGCCTCAAAATATTGAGATATAGCCATAAATTTCTATGTGGGGAATATAAAATACCTAGAAGTGTTCTTGATCCTAACTCTGATAAAGAGACCTCTTTTTTCCTGCAGAGAAGTGAACATGACTCTCAGGTTGGAGACGTGGCTGAGTCCAAACCCACGTTCATGATAAGGGAAAGAAGGAGAGATGGCAATCAACCAGAGGATAGGAGTTTTTTTTTTTTTTTTTTTGGTTGGTGCGGAAAAACAGAGACGGGAAAAGAAGGAAGACGCTAACGCCGGGAAAAAGAAGAACAACTGGGGTAGGGTTTTGGGTATTCATAAAAGTCCTTTTACTAATAGAACCCTCTAACAATTCATGCATAGAAGTCCTTTTACTTTTTTTTATATATCTATAGCCAATAAAACTTAGAATTATTACATACTATCCCTCTTAACAGAAGTTTTATCCTCAAAACTTGGACATACCTGAGTTTTCAAATAAATTAGGATATTTTCCTTCATCTCATCTTCGTGCTCCCAAGTAGCTTCTTCAGTTGAATGATTTTTCCATAAAACATTCACTAGCTTAACAATTCTTGACTAAAGTGGGGGTGTCACAGTTTACAGTAATGATAGTTAAATTTCAGGTTCAGAAGGACTCAAAACGTGGCGAAGTTACTATGCTATTGCTTAATCTCAACATATATAGACCTAGTAAAGGGAAGATCAAAAGATATGATTCAACTGACTCCGTCTTTCAAGATGATACATGCGTGGATCCAATGTGCTCATTTCAACAAGTTATGCAAGAATTAGTCAGAAACTTCATAAGCCGTGCTTAAAATGCGCTAATGATAAGCGCTACAATACGAGATGGTAATAATGGTCGAGGAACTTAGATTAAAGAAACGAATGTTATAAAGTTATTTTTAAAATTGAATCGGGTTTATGCAAGATAAGCATAGCATGGGCTTTAATAAGCTGCAACTCAAATCTTTAGGATTATGATCATATAAGCACTAGTAGAAAAACGATCGATCAACCTAGACGGAAATTTCCGTCTAGGTTGATTGCAATTCCGTCTAGATTAGTTCATCTAGACGGAATTCCGTCTAGTTTGATTGGTTTATTTTGCTTCCGTCTAGATTGCTTCAAACTAGACGGAATTCCGTCTAGATTGATCAATCTAGACGGAAGTCAACCTAGACGGAATAAAGAATTCCGTCTGGGTTGTCAATCCAGACGGAATTCCGTCTGGGTTGCCAACCCAGACGGAAATTCCGTCTGGGTTGGATTTTTACAACCTAGACGGAATTTCCGTCTAGGTTGATTCAATCTAGACGGAATTCCGTCTAGATTGTCTTTTTTCAGGAAAAAAAATTAATTAAAATTTGGATTTCCCTGTACAATTACATTAATATTTGAATACATCCAGAAAATACTGTACACGTCACATTCAACCATCCAATCATAATCAAAATTCATAACAATTCCATTCAAAAACATCTATATAACCAAATCCAACACATTGTACAAATCCAACCATCCACTTCAAAATATACATCAATCAGTTCCGTCTAAAACACATCCAACAACATATATACTAACAATGTCAGTGACTAAGATATGATACACGACATGAATAAATATAGTGTTATAACAAATAAAACTGTTTATTGCATTAAAAATAAAAAAACCTCATCCATCGTCATCGGCGGGGGTATCTCTATCCCGATTACGAGAACGGGTGCTGCTCCCTCCAATATCTCCACTCTGAATGTTTAATTGAATAATCATTATGTGGTGTTTGATAACATATTAGATAAAAATGAATTTATAAATATAAGAAAAAATAAGGTACCTGAGCACTACTCTGTCTAGCGCCGGAATTATCGCCAATCGAGCTAATGATCCGTATGACACCACCATACGCGCTATAAGGAATAGCACCGCCTAAATATTGTATAACATACCCCATGAGATCGTCCATCGAGTTCACCGTCAGCGCAACTCTAGTCATCTCATTAGTCACCTGAATATGCAGCTCCGGGTCAATTTTGTCAATCAGATACGCAGAGATACGTGCGACAAATGGCATAGCCTGGAAACTGCTTGTGGCTGCTCTCGTCGATGTAGATGGTGTGGAGGATGCTGTGGACGATCTGATGCTTATACCAGATGAAGCTCTGACACCATGCAGAGGATATCTTCCTCTCCTATTATTAGGGAGAAATAAATATTAAACTTTGCTCTCAAATTCAATAATGGTAAACAAATATAAATAGTATGTAGTATTCAAATTGATTCGATTTTTCACCATCCTTACCTATTATGACCCATCAGGTTCTGTGTGAGATTGATGTTCTCCTCTGCAGAAAGCATGTGAGGGTCTGGCTCGGTTTGTTCCTCCTCCTGCGAAATGTAGACAGATGCAGCCTCCTTGGATGCGGTCTCAAATCCCTCCTAAAGCACAAATTTATAGTTAATTCAAGATAATGACCATATTATTTGTGTTCTCGTTTCCTCGTAATGTTAACAAAATAGAATTAATAATACTACTCAAGATATGTATAAATCTCACCACTAACTCGAGATTTTTTGTGATCTTATCCCGATTCCTCTCATCACCCCTATATTGTTCACGAAAAGTACCATATGCCGCTCTGGCCCTCAAGTGTATCGGCATTAATGATTTCCCCTGTCATATTATAAATTATGAGATTTCATAATCATACTAAACATTAAGATCTTTTAAATCTTTAAATGACATATACCGTATCTTGACAATAAACATCCTCCAGATTGGCGTAGGAGTGTGAGCCCAAGTGATGGTCATGCAGCTTCTTTCTTCTATTTTCTGACCCCTTCGTGGATTTATTCTTTAAAAAAAATTCTGTAAATATAAAATGAAATAATATCTTAAAATTATAAACTAAATTTCATGAAACTAACCTTGGCGGCATCGCTGTCCCAATACATGAGGAGAGCCGTGAAATGAATCTCGTCAACTCGGTCATCGAGGTTTAAAAACCTCTGCCAGTCCTCCTCATACCTGTCATAGGTTTCATGTTTGATCTCATGCCTCCATTGTTTGAGGACTGCTTCAACCTTGACATTAAACACATAATTCCAAGCCCCCTCAAAGTCCTCAAGGCAGAAGCAGTCCTGTAGATTTACATACACATTTAGTAAGGATAATTTAATATCAATTACTAATTATTAATAAATGAAAATCTAAAACAATATGCACTTACCATAAGCGCAGTCCATATCGCCTCGTATGCGGTCCATGGTAATTCTCGAAAATGAAAATAAGGGTTGATAATGGTCGCTCTACGCACGAGAACCCCAATATATGCATTCAATCGGGCCGACCAAGGACCAACGGGTAAATTAGAACTATTCCACCTAATAATGGCCCTCATTCCTCTTGGCGGTTGTTTAGACTTAGGCTTACCTCCGCCACGTCATCCCTCTATGCGATCTGACTTAGCACCTACAATAATAACAACATGATAATATATCATATAATATACAAATGTGAAAATTAAAAGTATTTATATAATTTACCATTCGCTATCTCTCTTTCTTTTGCTGCGAGTGCAACAGCTTTCCTAGTCTCCAACATAGGAAGCATTTCCTGATACCTTCTCGCAGCACGTGGGTGGTACTTCCTTGAGTCAGCCTTGGACTTATGAGAGTCCGGAGGTAAAGGTAAACTGAGAAAGTCCTGGGTCTTTGGCCGCAAGTCAGTATGGAATGTATATGATGGATATGTCGGGGTCCAAGTAGCACCTACATAAGAAAGAAGAATCATTAATATTAAATTTTAATTGAACATTATCAATTATTAAATATTTAATACCTGCGTCGGGGGATGGTTCTGGTGCTGCATCAGAGGGGCCGGGTGATGAATATCCAGCATCTACAACAAATGAACACTATGAGCTAGATAACTAAAAATTTATAAAACATGTTAAAGTATTAATTAATTTTTATACCTGCATCCGGAGATGGTAGTGGATCATCAGCACCACTACCTGGGGTGATACTCCGTGAGCGATCACCCTCCAGGTCAAAGAGCCTCCTCATCCTCCTCCTCATCTGCAAATATAATAAAGACAATCGTTAAGAAAAAATTGTATACATGCTCATGAGATATGTTGTTATGAAATGCATTATTGTTTTTATTATGATAAGATAAAAATCGATAATATGGTGTAACATATATAGTTCATACCTACATCCAGCGCCACATTCTGTGCGTAAGAGAATTCTTGCCAAACATCATCAGATGAACCGATTGGTTCACTATAATTATCTTCACTTTCTTCAATATTTTTTTCATTGTTATTAGGAAGAACAACAGATCTTGGCTCCTTGTACAAAACCACCCAATCAGACATGACATTCGGATCTTTCACATAGAAGCACTGATCAGCTTGTTCTGCGAAAATGAATTTCTCATCCGTATATACTTCTCGGTGAAGATTGACTAGTGTAAATCCATAATGATCCTTTTGCTTTTTTGCAGGACACCACCGAACCTTGAACATCGTGTAAGTACATTGTTTTGGTTTACCAAACCCGTAAATTACCTCAACGATATCTTCTAATTGGCCATAATATAATATGTCAGCTAGAATTGGATTCTGATCTCTTATACTTGAAAAACATTCTTGGGCAAACAAGCCCATGACCCCACTGTTCTGAGTTACCCTCCTATCATCGGTCTCTAATGTTCGAAATTTATATCCATTCACCAAATGCTCATTATAACGTCTCACTTCGTGATAAGGACGTTGTGCATGGATAATAATTTCATCTGGTAATGTAGTATCATCAAGAAGTGATTTTTCAACCTAAGACAAACAATTTGAGAATATTTAGGCGATGTTATATTATGAATGTTCAATAATTAATTGTAAAACACTTACATCAAATCTTAACCAATCAGAAAATTCTTTCTTATGTCTTTTCTGAATATTGTGCGCTGCATTCCTACCGGTTGTTTCATTCTTAAGCTTCTCCAGATGTCGCCTATATAAACAATATATAAGTTTATATTGATAAACTATATGTAAAATGAATATTTCTCATCTATATTACAGATTTTATTTGTTACCTTCGATAGTCTTCGAACATATCAAGGTTTTCCAACACATATGCATGAATTTGATCTAAGAGAGATCTCGGGTATTTTTCACGCTTCCTCTCCTTTTGAGGTGCTTGAGATGTGGTTTTCTTCTTACGCATGTAACGTGATGCAAACACAAAGCATTCGTTAGCCACGTATCCTTCAGCTATCGAGCCCTCGGGACGAGCTCGATTGCGAACATTGTTTTTCATGCAGCCCAAGTATCTTATAATCATAAAAGTTAATTATTAGCACGGTAATTTGAAAAACGCGTATACAATTAATAAATATAAGAAAAATCGTAAATTACCTTTCAATCGGATACATCCAACGATAAGTAACAGGACCGGCGATTCTAGCCTCTCTTGCAAGATGCTGGGTAAGATGGACCATAATTGTAAAAAATGAAGGAGGGAATATTACTTCCATATTGCATAGAGTAACTCGGACATCGGCTTCAAGTTTCTTAAAGTCATCTACATCTATGACTTTAGAGCATAATTTTCTGAAAAATCCACAATACTCAATAATAATCTTCGACGCTTCTTTATCCATATTGTTACGGATTGCAACAGGGAGCAATTGATGGAGAAGAACGTGATAATCATGTGTCTTCAGACCTAAGAGTTTTCTCTCTTGCACCTGGACATTATTTGAAATGTTAGCAGAGTAACCATCCGGCGACTTTACCGATTTGAGAATTTCACAAACTCGTTGCATCTGCTCATTTGACATTGTAACACGAGACGGAGGCAACTTTAATTTTTTAAGGCCAACGTCTTGAGCTTGCAAATCATTTCGGATATTCAAAGCAGTCAGATCTTGGCGCGCCCGTAGATCATCCTTCGACTTGTTTGCATCTTGTAGGAGAGTTGATACTATGTTATCACATATATTTTTCTCAATATGCATAACATCTAAGTTGTGTCGGATTTTTAGATTCTGCCAGTAAGGTAGCTGAAAGAAGATACTAAATTTAGTCCATCCTCTAGGTAATGTTTGAGCTTCGTCCTCAACTTGCATTTTACGGACCTTTCGCTTACGCTTCAATGGCTTTTTTAACTTTAAGTAATCTCTTACTCCGAGCGTGTTAAATTTAGAATAGCGTTTTTTCCCAAACACAACTTTTGGAAACCCCTCAAGTAATTGAACGATCTCAGTACCTGTCAGTTGACGCGGCTTCATTCTTTTCTCAACTGTACCATCAAACTTAGCTGATAATTTTCTGTACTTATGACTCAAGGGCAACCACCTTCGATTAAACCAATAACAACTCTTTCGGCTATGTGGTAATTGAATAGCTTCAAATTCTAGACCACATACAGGACAAGCACACTTGCCCTTCGTAGAGTACCCTGACAGATTAGCATAAGCTGGAAAATCATTAATCGTCCATAGTAGAATAGCACGTAATCTAAACGACTCTTTTAAATGGGCATCATATGCTAAAATACCCTCAGACCATAATTGTTTTAGCTCATCAATTAGAGGCTCTAAGTAGACATCAATATCATTTCCCGGAGCATGCTTACCGGGTATCAGTAATGAAAGTATCATAAACGGCTGTTTCATACAAAGCAATGGAGGTAAATTATATGGCATTAATACAACTGGCCACGTAGACCAGCCAGAGCTCATTACCCCAAATGGATTGAATCCGTCGCTTGATAGACCCAATCTTACATTTCTGCAATCTTCGGCAAAACGAGGATAAATTTTATCAACATGCTTCCAAGCTAAAGCATCAGCAGGATGTCTCAATTTACCATCGTCTACTCGATCATCCTTATGCCACCTCATATTCTTTGCCGTTTCCTTGTTCATGTATAATCTTCGCAATCTAGGAGCCAATGGAAAATGTCGAAGCACTTTGACTGGAATTTTCTTCTGTGTTATCCCTGTCTCCGTTGTAATCCTTGTTGAAGAATTTGTGCGCTGTTTCCACCTAGAAACTCCACATGTCGGACACTCTTGAAGGTCTTTATTGGCTTTGTGGTACAAAATACAATCATTCGGACATGCATCAATCTTATTA